GTAGCGAAATAGTTTCATTTCTGAGAGCTTGATATTTTGATAAAATTTGTATTGACATTTGAAAAAGTGATATTGAAATTTCTTACAATTAAAGATATATAATAAGGTTTGGTTGATAGTGATATTTAAATGTGAAATGAAATTTGAGAATGTGATATTTTAAATACAATTTGTAAATGTGATATTTTAAATACAATTTGAAAAATAAAAGGAAGAGAATGTGATATTTTGATATAATGTGATATTTTGATTGGAGCAAAATTTCTGAGGTTAATTTGTAAGAACTTGTGTTAATTAAAACATTTTAAATGACTTTTCCAAATTCTGTGTTTATTTTTCAGGCAGTAGAGTTAACCCAATGTAAACATAATATATTTGAATATGTAGAATCTAAAATGACATTTATAGCACCTAATGTATCTATAATAGTAGGAGCTTCTATTGCTGCTAAATTGATGGGTAAGAAACAATTTATTTTTTTTACATTGTAAAACTCTTGAACAAATATCTGTCAACTTGTAAAATGATCTTTGGAGCCTGTAAAAAAAATGTTCCAAGACTGCTTGTAAATTTTTCCGCTGAAATTAGTTGTTTTCCTTGTGAGCTAGAGAAAAGGGTATTCTTTGGTGACTTGTTGAAATTTTCATTTTAAATTTGTTGAATGCAGTTTTACTGTTGTTAAAATGTTCTTTTTAGACTGTTAAAATGTTCTTTTTAGACTGCTTAAATGTTCTTTTTGGACTGCTAAAATGTTCTTTTTAGACTGCTTAAATGTTCTTTTTGGACTGCTTAAATGTTCTTTTTAGACTGCTAAAATGTTCTTTTTGGACTGCTAAAATGTTCTTTCTAAAGTTTGAAAAAATGTTCTTTTTAGACTTGTACAATGCCACAGTATTTTTATAAGTAAAAAATATCCAACTGTGTTACTTTATCTACTGCTTTTTGTGAATAGTGTGTATTTTTTAATTAAAACGGCTGAAATGTATCAATCTCTATGTTTAGGTGTAGCTGGAGGGTTAACCAAATTATCAATAATGCCAGCATGTAATATCATGGTATTGGGTTCACAGAAACGAACATTGTCTGGTTTCTCTTCTACAGCTATATTACCTCATACTGGTTTCTTATATTATACTGATATAGTCCAGAAAACACCACCAGTAAGTTGCCAAATAAAGCTATGGATATCATTGTTCAGAATCAAATTCAGACATCTAGTTTCACTACAATTCATCAAATAAGTACTTATACTGCTATTGCCTTGGTGTTGTTATTAACATTCCCACTCTCAGATATTGTTGATGACTTCATATGAAAGAAAGCTCTATATTTTTTAAAGGGATTCTACAATTCTTTCTACCCGTTGGTCTTTAACCAAACCTCTTGGCATTGATCTTTCCCACATTACTCTTGCTCATTTACAACTGGGTTGACTGGAATTATGAGTGATGATGACTGATTTAAGATCATGTCGACTGAGATAAGACCCCACAACCACCATTAATTTGACGTAACCAAACAAAATACATTACGACAACTGTGCTACAAAACACCATGATGTCAAAAAGCTGTCATTGCTGAATTTTTAAAATTAATGTATTTTTATATCTTAATTTTCAGGATTTAAGAAAGAAAGCTACAAGACTGGTAGCAGCTAAATGTACTCTTGCAGCCAGAGTTGACAGTTTCCACGAGAGTACAGATGGATCTGTAGGGGATAATCTTAGAGCAGAAATAGAACAGAAACTAGATAAACTACAAGAACCTCCGCCAGTTAAAACTATTAAAGCCTTACCAGCCCCTATTGAACAATCCAAGAAGAAACGAGGTGGACGAAGGTAATGTTTCATGATGAGTTTATTACCTTGAGACTTGCAGTTTGCGACCCC